GCTGAACATAATTTAATAAGGGACACGATTACCCTTTATCTTTCCATTAATTGATTGCGAGGATGATAATAATTTTTATTTTTAAAGAGTTAATTGTATTACACGTGTCTATTAATTGTATTATTTTTAAAGAGTTAATTATATTACACATTTATGTTAAACTAGCTTTTAAATTTATGAATGTTTTTTATTTTATCTTCAAATTATTGTTTTTATTTTAAATTAGTCTTTGAACTTTTGAATATTCTAATTTTATCCTTAAATTATGATCCTTATTTTAAATTGGTCTTTAAACTTTTGAGGATTAAATTGAAATATTCAAAATTTTGAGGACTAATATATAATAAAATTCATAGTTTATGGATTACATTACAACAACAACAACAACAACAACAAAACCCAATTCCCATATGCAATGGGGTAAGGGGGAGGTAGGGTAGTAGGCTGCCCCCAACGCCAGGTTGAGAGTAGCTTCCGTGGAAGACCTCCGGCATTCAGAAAATTAAAAATATAGATAAAATGCAATGCATGTATAAATAAATACATAAATACATAGTTGTACAGTATTCATATGCAGTCATTAATATCGTTAATATCATATGCGCGTCTGTAATGGGCAGTAATCTTTGTATATAGACAGAAACGTAAGACCCGACTAAATTTAAAAGTGAAGAGAATGATACACAGAAGTCAAACGATAGCAAGCCCAGTTCTAAGCCTTCATAAATACCAATAACATAAACGGATAAAAAGTAGAAGTTATGTAAATTACTACAAAGGCATTAAAAGAAGACAGAGATGATACACCCTAGAGATGTGACCCACACTACTCGACTATCCTAGTCTTAAGTCTCCATACTTTCCTATCAGAGGTCATGTCCTCGGTAATGGCTAAATCCATCAAATCAGATCTCAAGCAGTCTTCCCACTTCCGCCTTGGTCGTCCTCTCCTTCTGGCACTGTCGACTGTAATCGACTCTACCCTCCTGACCACATCAGATGGTAGTCGCCTGAGGACATGCCCAAACCACCGTAGTCTTCCTTCCCTCAATTTCTCGGAAACAGGCACCACCCCCAAGGACATCCTAATAGCAGAGTTTGTTGTCATATCCCACAGAGTCCTACCGCATGTCCACCGAAGCATTCTCATTTCTGCGGCCTCTATCCTCCTTACATGATCCTTCTTGGTTGCCCAACATTCTGATCCATACAATAGTGTTGGTCTTATTGCCATTCTATAAAATTTTCCCTTAAGTTTTAGAGGCACCTTCTTGTCACACAAAACTTCAGTAGCGGCCCTCCACTTTAGCCATCCTGCCTTTATACGGTGTGTAACGTCATCATCTACACCCCCATCTTTATGTATCATAAACCCTAGGTACTTGAAACAATCCTTTGAGGGGAGAACGTGTCCTTCTATGCATACTTCTACATCGTCTTCGTTTTGGTCCCTACTGAAGTTTGAACATAAATACTCTGTCTTATCAATATTGATCCTTAGACCTTTTTCTTCCAAAGCAGTCTTCCAGGTAGCCAGTCTACTATTCAACTCAGATTTTGTTTCAACCACTAGGACAATGTCGTCAGCGAAAAGCATACACCATGGTACACCGTCTGGTGTCGCACAAAAGATGTCATCCATAATCAAGGCGAAGATGTAAGGGCTAAGAGATGACCCCTGGTGGAGTCCGATTTCCACTGGGAATGCCTCGGAGTCGCCAACTGTAGTCCTGACGTATGTAGTAGATCTACAATACATATCACGAATCGTCCGGATATAAATAGTTGGGATCCGTCTCGTTTCCAAAGTCTTCCAGATCGTATCGCGGGGAACGCTATCATAAGCCTTCTCAAGGTCAATGAACGCCATGTGAAGATCTCTAGACTTTTCCCTATATTTCTCCATAAGTCGTCGAAGTAGATGAATTGCCTCCGTGGTAGACCTGCCTGGCATAAAGCCAAAGTGGTTTTCCGAAACCCTAGTAACTTGTCTCAACCTAGCCTCTATCACCCTTTCCCATAGCTTCATAGTATGGCTGAGTAGTTTAATACCTCTGTAGTTACCACAACGTTGGGGATCTCCTTTATTCTTATAGATTGGTATCACCGTGGACTCTCTCCACTCCTCTGGCATCTTGGCAGTCTCTAAAATAATATTAAAGATGTTGGTCAACCACTTAACTCCCTCTTCTCCTAGGGCCAACCACACAGTGATAGGAATTTGATCAGGACCGACAGCTTTGTCCCTTCCCATCTTTCTAAGAGCCATTTTGACTTCCTCAAACCCAATCCTACTTGTAGGGCAGTCATTGGCCGATGTATGATGGTCGGATGACCCATCAACTGTACTTTCTCTACTGGGAGAGGCACCGTCATTAAATAAATCAAAGAAGTAATTACCCCAAACCCTCTTAATATCATGATCTTTCGCTATAAGAACACCATTGTTGTCCTTAATAAATCTAATGCTACCTAGATCCTTTTTCCTATTCTCCCTAGATTTTGCAAGCCTGAAGATGCCGTTTTGTCCTTCCTTGGTGTCTAATCTCTTGTACATTTCCTCGTATGCCTTATCCTTTGCTTTAGCCACCGTTTTCTTGGCTTCCCGCTTTGCCTCCTTGTATCTTTGTTTAGCTCTCGACCTTTCTTCGTCATCATTGCATTGTAGAAACTCCTTGAAGCAAGTTTGCTTTGTCTTCACCTTAGTTTGGACATCGTCGTTCCACCACCACGATTCTTTATGTTCCTTGGCCTTCCCTGTCGACAACCCCAGGGTGTTTTTGCCCACCTCTCTGATGGAATTTGCCATATTTTTCCATAACAAATCTGCATTATTTGAGTTTGTAGTTCCAAAACCTGTATTAGACATAACCTTACTCCTAAAGTCATCAGCTGTCGCTCCATGTAACTTCTTCCAAAGGATCCTAGGTTTACCCAGTTTAGCCCTCCTATGAGTGTTCCGCCCGTGCGGTACGCGGAACACCAAAACCAACAATTTGTGTTGCGATGCACATGCCTCTTCAGGGGACACCTTACAGTCAATGCAAGCCCATCGATCCCGATTTCGGACCAGGATGTAGTCGATTTGGGTACAATGTCCCCCGCTATGAAACGTAATCAAGTTCGCATCTCTCTTATTAAATAAGGAGTTAGTGATCACCAAATCGTGAGCAGTAGAAAATTCAAGCAACGTACTCCCCTCATCATTCCTGCTACCAAAACCGAAACCCCCATGAACACCGTCATACCCGTCGGTTGTACTACCTATATGGCCATTGAAGTCTCCCCCTATGAAAACTCTTTGGTCCTCTGGAATGCTCCTAAGTACATCATCTAACTGATCCCAGAAGCAACGTTTCTCCCCCTCCCCTAGGCCAACATGTGGGGCGTACACTGAAAGGACATTCACCATTTCCTCTTCTATAATAACCTTAATCATCATGATCCTATCCCGGTATCTACAAACTTCAACTACATTTTCCTTGAGCCTAGAGGAAACCAAGATACCCACCCCATTTCTAGCATTATCTACGCCTGAATACCACAACTTGTACCCATTACACTCTCTGGCGCGAGCCCCTTTCCACCTAGTCTCCTGGATACATGCAAAATCTATTTTCCTATTATTAAGTGCGTCGGTCAGCTCCAGAAGCCTAGCATTTAATGTGCCTACATTCAACGAGCACACTCTAAGTCTAGTCTCCTTGTCACCACTCTGTCGAGCCCTCCCCCTATATGCCCCATGGGCTCTAAAAGAAGGACATGACCTCAAGAAATCATCTATAGTCGAAGCTATGAGAAACTATGAAAAATGAATCCAAAGAAGACAGAAGATGCACCAATAAAACGCTAGAGAATTGAGGGGTACTAAAAAGCCTAGTTGGTTACTAAGTAGGATTTTAATTTATTACTAGTTGGTTACTATTGTTATTATTATTGCTAAAAGCCTAGTGTTAAAAGGAGAGGAAATAGAATAAAAATGATTTTTATCTTCAGATAAAAAATGATACTATTAATTAGAAAATTAAGCACAACGCAATAACTAGCCCTAGGTTAAGAAAGAAGAAAGATTAAGAAAACAAATGAGAATACTTAGCTGGATGAAGATAATAGCAGACTGGAAAACAAAGAGCAGAAGTTAAGTTAATTCCAACAAAATCCAATCAAATAATTTTGAGGTATTTACTGTTTCAGAGAGTAAAATAGACCAAATCCAGTAACAGAAACTATAAGTTGACAAAACCAGTGAAGATGAACATCAAACCCAGAAAATTTTGCAGAGAAAATGATAATAAGCAAGCATATATATCACTATTGAGGTATTCACTGTTCTTGAGAGTTTAAACAGACCAAACCCAGGGGGAAAAACTCTAAACTACAATCTGAAGATGAAGATGAACATCGAATCAAACCCAGAAAAATAAATAAACCAAAAACCTCTAAATTCTGAAGCGAAAAGGAGATGGAAACAGAGCTAAAAAAGTTGCTAGGGTATTTAGCACAAAATTTAGTCTTTGGTAATCAAAGAGCCTCTATCTACCAAAAAGTAAAGCTAATTGATGATTCTAAATATACAGTTTGGATTAAACTTCAAGAAAATCACAGATTGAATTTAACGGAAACTATAAACAAAGTTAAAACAAAATCAGAAATTGAAGTGAAAAGAGTCAAAATCACAATCAAGATTTTAGGCTTTATGGATCTCAAAACAAACCAAGAGAGATTAAAGAATTAAAGGAGGAAAGCAGCAGAATCGAATATAATTCAAGAATTCAAGAATCCAGATCACAAAGCTATCAACCAATTAACTCTAAACTAAAACTAACCCAAAACCAGCAGAACATTAGATTGCAAGATAAATCAAGGTAAACCCAGTGGTAAAAAGGGAAAATTTGAACTACCCAAAGAGGGATTATGAGCAAACAAACCGATTCAGATCAGAACCTTTGGAGAACTGAAAGGCGTAGCTAAAACCACCACTTGGAATTTCAGAGCCAACAATGGCGGTGGCACCAAAGAGGAACGAGGAAGAAGAGTTCCTAATTTTCTACAGGAAACTTGGAAGCCATAAGAGAAACACGAAGCTTACGCTGAGATAGTGAGCGGCGAAGAAGCGTTTATGTGTGTTTATGGATTACATTAAAATATTTAAAAGTTTAAGAATCAATTTAGAATGTGGGTCATAATTTGAGGCCACATGATGCAATTTGAAGACACCAAATTTCGTCCTATAGCCCAAGACCAAGGAACCCAGCAGAAACACGTGAAGCCCAACAGACTTCTATCGCCTCTCCACCGGCGTCGCAACCCTCATATGTGAGGACTCTTAACAGCCGCCGCGCGCACGTAACCATCTCCGAGAATCTCGGTCATTATCAAGATATCAACATTAACATTTTACTAGGATTTAAATAACCAAAAATAGGAGTACATGAACACTATAAATACAGTGTAATCCCTAATGTAAGGAGGGGGAAATACACAAAAAAATACCCGAGATATTACATTCGGAAATTACCGGAGAAAACAAGAAGAATACGGTGGAAAATATACGGGGTCAAACAAAAAAAGAACAGAAACTGAGAGGAAAAAAAAAGAAAAGGCTTACCTTTCACCGTCGTGGTCTCACCGGAATCGAAGCTCCGATTGTCAGTTCGTGAATCCAAACTGAGGGAGCAACATATCTTGAATCCAAGTCAATCTGACGGTCTGATAACATAGATCAGAGAGTGAAAATCGAAAGGTTTCGATGTTGTTTCATCCACACCGAGTATTTTTCGGACAAACCAAGGTCAGATCCAAGTTTCCAGTGTTGATACGAACCTCTCTGTGAAATTTGACGACGAACGATCGCCAGAGGGTGGCGGTGGACAGCGATGGTACTTCCCCGGCGAGGTGAGGGAGCATTCTTTCCCTCTGTTAACTTTCTGGAATTTGAAACAGAACACGTTTCAAGTGTTTTTATTTTACTTTGTATACACATTTCTTAATATTGGTCATATTATCATTTTAATCATAGATGGAACTTGATTTGGCCCATTTTCTTCAATTATGATATTTTGGTCCCTATGCAAAATTTACTTTAACTTCTAGGATTGTTTTTGCATTCATTACATTCTCATTTATGTTATAAATATTTATCATTATTAAATGTGTGATATGTCATGGTTATCAAATATATACATATATATATATATTATTGTTTTAATTTTAATATTTTTCCTTATTTTTTAATATATATATATATATATATATTTTGTTTTATTCATCATTTAGTTTACTTTTATTTTCTTTATTTATCCTTATATATATATATATATATATATATATATTTCTCTCTCTTGATTTTATCTTATTTTATTTTATGTATTTTTTATATATATTTATTTTTTTATATTTCTTTCACTTTCCCCATATTTATTTTAATTATGCAATTTTTTTATCTTTAATCTTTCTCTTTATTATTTGTTTCACTTTCCCCCTTCTTTATTTTATTTTTCGTATTTTCATTTGTTTTACTCACTTTTTTTCCTAACATTTATCATGACTCTTTAAAGGTATTTCCGTAAATTAATCAGAGGTAAGTAATTTAGGATCAAATGTTACCTTTTAATTTAAAATTATAATTTTCTTAATTAAAGACAACTGGAAATTACGTAGTACCGAAAGGGCAGGTCAACCCTTCCTTGACTGTAACCGACTCCCGAATCCGACACATCTTTGGTAAGACGCAGATCAGGTAAGAAATAAGGTATTCGATCTACCTATTTTTCATAAAATAAATGATCGGTGGCGACTCCAACCCACTTTCCTAAGTCGAAACCCGATTCCGGGGCCCAACTGAAAGACAGTTACGACAGCTTGGCGACTCTGCTGGGGACGCAGGTAAGTGAGTCAGGCTAAGGTAATTTCCAGTTGTCTTTTTAACGAAAAGGGTAAGTTTAAATTTTTAGATAACATTTCGATCCTTATTGCTTACTTTTGATTATATTTTTTGAGTAAATAGTCGCACTAACCGTTTTCTAATGATTTCAGCTCTTAAAGATTTTTCATCTAAGGCTCTAAACTCGAGCTTCGAACCCTATTTTAAGTGGGGGTGAAAGCGACGCCTTCGTGTGAATTTATTCACCGTACGGGCCTAGCAAGTAGCCTTCGGGATTCATATACATTATGTCTTCGTGTGAATTTATTCACTGTGCGAGCATAAGGGAATGTGTTCTCTCGAGTTTAACTTAGTCCATGCAAGCCTGTGATGGGTTTAGGACTAAGGGTCTGGCAAGCCCAAGGGGACACTAGCAATGAGAACCCGGGTACCATTTTTAGAACCAAAACCGGGAGATCATGGAGAATTAGAGCCCACCCCAAAACCTCATTCCAAACCCTAGGTTATCTTGAGATTATTTCCTGCTTTACCTTCTGTTCAAAGCATACGAACTAGACAAATATGCGGTTAGGATTTGTTTGAAATTAGCATACGGGATAGAGATCAAGTTCGGGTAGGAATAATAAAAGAATGTGGGGTAGTTATTATGTGGGGTAAGACTTTTTATTTTCATTATTGTTTTAACTTACCTTACTAACTCTTTTCATTTATATTTTCTTTTATTTTATTTTCATTATTTGTATCATTAAAAAGAGGTGTGGATCCACTAAAACATGTTCGTTAAACCAAAATAATCTGCATTAATAGACAAAGGGGATGTAATACAAGTGATAAAAAAATGCAGGGGTCCGGCTATGGTCAGAAAAATACTCAGAAAGAAAAGGAGGACAATTTGCAAGGCAACTATGTGTCACATTCAATCAAGAAGACGTGGTGCCCACAATCAAGTTCATCAAAAGTTAACTTTTCAAAAATGGGTTGACAAATGTGATAGGGGCAAGACGAGAAAAAGGTTACTAACCTCGAGAGTCTCTTCAAAGATAACAAGAACAAGATGCAAAACGATAGCTGAATTGGAAGTCATTGTTGACAAATTCAAGAAAATGAACTTTGGAGTTTCCGATTCAGCAAATGATGAAAGCCAGAGATGCAATCATTCGATACTTCTGGGAACAAGTACAAAAAATAGATCGCCACTTGCACGGTTTAGCCAGAAAAGCCGGAGTGGTTCAGCAGTGTATTCGACCGGTGACAGACGAAGGCAGAAGACTAGTCAACTTGTTTTGGGGTCTAGAGGATTTAGTCCGAACGTACCTCTAAATATGTTTATTGTCTCTTAGATAAAACACTTTTATCCCAATAAAGATTATTCATAATAACAGACATGTTTTCGGATCAATGCCTCAAACATTTCATGCATTTTGCATTTTGTACCTACATTTCATTTCTAAGCATTTTCATAAACATGAAATTTCTTCATGGAGGATTCGATGAAGTGGTCTTAACCACATGACACCATATGGAAGCAAGATTGTAACATTAAAGAAAAAACTGAAATTAGTGCAGTGGGAGCTTGATCAGCTGATTGTAGGACTAAGCCTGTCAGGGGATATGAGAAAAGAGTCTCAATATCCTAAGGGCTACGAAGTTGAAGCTATTTGCAATTACCACATAGGAAGCTCCAAACATTCATCTGAAAACTGTAAGACACTAAAGCGTAAGATCCAAAACCCGATAGATTCAGGGCATGGACAACCGAAGAAGGTGGCATGGCATATACCATTTGCACTTATAAGATTGTTTTGTTTGAACACATCTCTAATCTTTCATGTTTGCTTAATCTTTTAAACGATTTAATTTATGCTACTTTCTAAGGTGGAGCAATTGAACAAATTTTAATCTTTAGTTTTTCGAATATTAAATGAATTAAGGATTCTTTTAATTCTTCAAGAATTATAGATTTTTGACATATGACAAGATTAGACATTTCTTATCCCGTCTCAAACCCCAAAATAAAATACCTTGATTCTTTACCCAAAATAACTCATGGTCATTACCAAAAAGACTAAATTTTGACATTACCTCCCTTTGAAATTCTTGAACATTGCCTTTATCTTTTTGATACACACATACCTATCTTTGAGTCAAATAAAATCACACCACTGTCTTTTTAGACTCAAAATTGACATTTTGATACCCATTAAAACCCAAGGCATTGAGTTATTCATTTGAACATGAGCATTTTTCTTAGACATAACTTGGGGCATCTTGTAGGGAGCTTGAACATTAAGACATCTGGAAGAAGAATTCATATGAAATAATTCATATGAAATAATTCTATCTTGCATTAATTACACTGTTTTCATGTAAATAAAATTAATCCTGAAAATCTATCCCCCTGGGGATAGCTCTTATGTGAGGAATTCCATGTATGAAATGACGAACGACTTTCTTTCTTTATCCCTTTACAATATGAGAAAAAATATATCCCTTGTGTTCTCTTTTTGAGCCTATAGTATTTTTCTTCTGATTCAACCCTAACCAAGGATCACCCTCCACACTGGGGGGCAAGGTGGAAGAAATCTACTCACATGAGTGAAGACATTAATCCAAAGGAAATACCAAAAGGTGGGCCAAATACCAAGTGCGAAGATTCAATCAAGAACAAAAAAGAAAAGAAGCAAAAAAGAAAAAACAAGAACAAAAAAGAAAAGAAGCAAAATCAAAAGGAAAAGGGACAAAAAACACATGCAAAGATTCCCTAAAGACAAATGGCACATCAAGCTTCAAACTATGAGATTGATCAAGCACAATCATTCTTGAATCACTGAATCACTTCACTCGAAGATCATAGAGCATCAGGAGAAAGAGACATTTTGAGCAAGACAAGATCGAGGGCATCAGAATGAATTAATCCTTGGTTCAATACCCTGAAACACTTATTTGGGCCTATTTATCCTTTTCTTTCATAACCATGAGCCCTGGCCTACATTATGTGCCTTAAAAGTCCCTTCTAATCATACATGGATTTCTAAACAAAAGAGACTATCTTCAGATTTCATCCCGCCCATCAGGATTAATTTGCAAAAAAAAAATAATGTAATTAATGCATGGTAAAGAAAAATGACAAAGGAGGGTTCAAGACGTAAATCCTGAATAACGTCTTGAAATCAAATGAGGGTTCGAGTTGAAAACCTGAAAATGCGGCTCGAATATAAAAATTGTGCAACTGAGGCGATCACACAAATTCCTTGATAAGGCATCGCACAATCCGAGTGTGACAACGAAGGTTGGGAGTCAGAGAACACTTCCAGCAGAGAAACATGCAAGCTACCCCATCAATCATTTGAGCATAAAATGGCAAACCTTTGACCAAACACGATAATCTGAGACTTTTTTATCATTTCCTTACTTAACCATTTCCCAAAGATAGCTTTGATATTGACACTTGTCAAATAGCTATAATTTTTTGAAGGATTAACATTGTAATTAATTCTTTAATATCCGATGAACTCTAGTTTTATGATTCGTCTCAATTGTAAAACCGTGAAAGTGACAATATTTTCAAAACTTTTGGTTAAACATTTTTTGAAACTCTTTTAATTGATATTTTCATAACTTTGAAAATAAAAGAAAAAGAAAAACATTTTTTTCAAATAAGACAGTCTCTCTAGAGTGAATCTTGGTAAATGACATGTGACTCTTAGACACAAAGCTCGTGCTCAGAATCAATGTTGAAGCAAGAAATGAGGAACATTTGGGGCATCTTTGAAGATTCAACATCAAATATTGGGGCATTTTTTGATATTGGGGCATCTTTGGGGATTCAACATCCTAATGCGAATTATCAGACCTTCTGAAGGCATTTCCTCCACATGCAGGAACAAGCAGGCAAAAATGAGGCTCTATCCAAGAGATAAATGACATTAATTCATGTTGCATGCATCTTAGACATACTTGAGAGCATCACATTTATCATTTTTAGCATACATAATTTTTGCAGCTTTAGAGTCAAGTTTCAACTTCAATGCGAAAGATACCTGATTCAAAAGAGTTTGTAAAAATCGATAGTGGTTGCTTAACTCAGTAGCAAGGAGCTACACCTCAACTAATTTGATATATTGAAAGATCGACAGATCTTAGAATCAACTTCAGACGAGTTCGAGAGCTAATTCAGAACTGATCCAGTTCGTATTTTCAAGTTGGATTTCAACTTCACGACGAAGGATATCCAATTCCTGGCTCAACTTCACGACGAAGGATATCCAATTCCTGGCTCAACTTCACGGTGAAGGGGCCACCCACAATTTCTACTTCACGACGAGGGGAATCGTGCTCATCATTGTCTCTCTTGAGACAGTTTCCCTTGAAATGAATTTTGTCTCTCTTGAGACAGTTTCCCTTGAAACAAACTTTGTCTCTCTTGAGACAGTTTCCCTTGAAAAAAACCTTTAAAATTGTTTCTCTTGAAACACAAAAACCTTTGAAACATAAACATTGAAAACATTTCCCTTGAAATGGATTTTGTCTCTCTTGAGACAGTTTCCCTTGAAACAAAATCTTTGAATATGTTTTCCTTGGAACTAATTTCATCTCCCCGTGAGACAATTTCTTTTGGAACTAAGTTTTGTCTCTCTTGAGACAGTTTTTCTTAAAACAAATTTTTTTCCCTTGAGACCGTTTCTCATGAAACAACAGATATCTTTGAGATCGTTTCCCTTGAAACGAATTCTGTCTCTTTCGAGACAATTTCTCTTGAAGCATCATCTGAACCGTTACACTCAGCTCAGGCACATACTTGGGATGGTCGAAAGCATTTCTCAAATAAAAAAATAGAATATGCACATCAGATTTGAACATTTGAAGAATTCGAGATCAGGGATCAGAACTTGAAGATTCCAGAAAAACAACCGGAGATCGAGATTTCTCTCCTGAGCCCAAAAATAACATATGTTGCATATGCATTTTAGGCATACCTAAGAGCATTGCATCCATCTCATCACATATATGTATAACTTTTTCAGGTTTTATCTAGAGTCAATTTCAACTTCGTGGTGAAGGATATTGAACTCAAAACGACACAATTTGCTCGAGAGTAGATTTCAACTTCACGACGGAGGATATCTAACTCTAAGCCAAACTTCATAATAAAGGGGTCATCCACGCTTTCAACTTCACGGCGAAGGGAATCATGTCCACCCGTAACATACAATACTTGGATTTCAACTTCACGACGAAGGATATTCAAGTCAAGGCTCAACTTCACGACGAATGGGCCATCCACGATTTCAACTCCACGACGGAGGATATCGTTCCCACACATCCACGATTTTAACTCCACAACGGAGGATATCGCGCCATTTAAGACAACACAAGTTCAACTTCACAACGAAGGGACGACTGGTTGTCAACAAACCATTCCCAATTTCAGAGCCAATTTCAACTTCACAGCGAAGGATATTGGACTCGAGACAATACAAGTTCAACTTCACAACGAAGGGACGGTTGGTTGTCAACAAATAATTTCCCAGTTCCAGAACCAATTTCAACTTCACGGCGGAGGATATTGGACTCGGAAGGGGTCACCCACGGTTTCAACTTCACGACGAAGGGAATCGTGCATACAAGCAGCATCCATCTTTAGATTGGATTTCAACTTCACGGCGAAGGATATTCAACTCAAAGAAGGAGTGTCTGTCAACAAACTTTCCAGTTTTAGAGTCAATTTCTACTTCACAGCGAAGGATATTGGACTCGAGACAACACAAGTTCAACTTCACAACGAAGGGACGACTGGTTGTCAACAAACCATTTCCCAATTTCAGAGCCAATTTCAACTTCACAGCGAATGATATTGGACTCGAGACAACACAAGTTTAACTTTACAACGAAGGGACGGCTGGTTGTCAACAAACAATTTCCCAGTTCCATAACCAATTTCAACTTCACGGCGGAGGATATTGGACTCGGAAGGGGTCACCCGCGGTTTCAACTTCACGAAGAAGAGAATCGTGCACACAAGCAACACCTATCTTTAGAGTGGATTTCAACTACACGACGAAGGATATTCAAATCAAATAAGGAGTGTCTGTCAACACACTTTCCAGTTTCAGAGTCAATTTCAACTTCACAGCGAAGGATATTGGCCTCGTAACAACGCAACTTGCATTGGATTTCAACTTCAAGACAAAGGATATCCAATTCTCATGCTCAACTTTACGAAGAAGAACCATATACAATTCCGACTTCACAAACAGATTGACCCAACTTCATGACAAATGATTCATCTGTAACACCACAACACCAAATTCTTCAGGTCAAGTTTCACCTTCACGAAGAGGTGTCCTGAGCCAGAAGACGATTCAGAGGCCACTTGCCAAAGGCTTTGAGCTCGTTTTCAACTTCACGACGAAAGATTTCGTGCTCAAACTTTTCCAATTTAAACTCAACCTCACAACGACGGAGTCATTTTGTGATTGAAAAATCAGTTTCAATATCGGATTTCAACTCTACAACAGATGATATTCGATATGAACAAAATTTGTGTCTTGTAATCTTTGCTCCATTTTCGTTACACGATAATGAGCAAAGAGGGCAGCTGAAGACACCAAATTTCTTCATATAGCCCAAGACCAAGGAGCCCAACAGAAACACGTGAAGCTCAATAGACTTCTATTGCCTCTCCACCGGCGCCGCAACCCTCATATGTGAGGACTCTTAACAGCCGTCGCATGCATGCAACCATCTCCGAGAATCTCGGTCATTATCAAGATACCAATATTAGTTTTTTACTAGGATTTAAATACCCAAAAATAGGAGTACATGAACGCTATAAATACAGTGTAATCCCTACTGTAAGGAGGGGAAATACACAAAAAAATACCCGAGATATTACATTCAGAAATTACCGGAGAAAACAAGAAGAATACGGTAGAAAATATACGAGGTCAAACAAAAAAAGAACAGAAACTGAGAGAAAAAGAAGAAAAGACTTACCTTTCACCGTCGTGGTCTCACCGAAATCGAAGCTCCGATTGTCAGTTCGTGAATCCAAACTGAGGGGAGCAACATATCTTGAAACCAAGTCAATCTAACGGTCTGATAACATAGATCAGAGAGTGAAAATCGAAAGGTTTCGATGTTGTTTCATCCACACCGAGTATTTTTCAGACAAACCAAGGTCAGATCCAAGTTTCCAGTGTTGATACGAACCTCTCTGTGAAATTTGACGACGAACGACCGCCAGAGGGTGGTGGTGGACATCGGTGGTACTTCCCCGACGAGGTGAGGGAGCATTCTTTCCCTCTCTGTTAACTTTCTGGAATTTGAAACAGAACACGTTTCAAGTGTTTTTATTTTACTTTGTATACACATTTCTTAATATTGGTTATATTACTCATGTAATCATTTTAATCTTAGATGGAACTTGATTTGGCCCATTTTCTTCAATTATAATATTTTGGTCCCTATGCAAAATTCACTTTAACTTCTAGGATTGTTTTTTGCATTCATTACATTCTCATTTATGTTATAAATATTTATCATTATTAAATGTGTGATATGTCATGGTTATCAAATATATACATATATATATTGTTTTAATTTTAATATTTTTCCTTATTTATTTTTATATATATATATATTGTTTTATTCATCATTTATTTTACTTTTATTTTCTTTATTTATCCTTATATATATATATATATATATATATATATTTCTCTCTCTTGATTTTATCTTATTTTATTTATTTATGTATTTATATATATATATATATATATATTTATATTTCTTTCACTTTCCCCATATTTATTTTAATTATGCAATTTTTTTATCTTTAATCTTTCTCTTTATTATTTATTTCATTTCCCCTTCTTTATTTTATTTTTCGTATTTTCATTTGTTTTACTCACTTTTTTTCCTAACAATTATCATGACTCTTTAAAGGTATTTCCTTAAATTAATCAGAGGTAAGTAATTTAGGATCAAATGTTACCTTTTAATTTAAAATTACAATTTTCTTAATTAAATACAACTGGAAATTACGTAGTACCGAAAGGGCAGTTCAAGGGTGCTAACCTTTCCTTGACTGTAACCGACTCCCGAATCCGACACATCTTTGGTAAGACGCAGATCAAGTAAGAAATAAGGTATCCGATCTACCTATTTTTCATAAAATAAATGATCGGTGACGACTCCAACCCACTTTCCTAAGTCGAAACCCGATTCCGGAACCCAATCGAAAGACGGTTACGACACAATTAACTTAGTTTTAAAATATATGGGATTTTAGATTGACATTTTCTTTTTCCCTCTGCATAAATGCAGGGGATATCTTCGGACAAGATCTTGGATGTAAGAAAGCTTTTAGCAGTCCACGTTGAGACCTGCCATTTGACCAACTTCTCCCTCAATCACGAGGTAAAAAAATATATATAACCTTTCTAATGTGGGAAATGGAAATATGGCAATCGACATCCACTGTTAAATCTACGTAGAAAAACATGCAGCAGGGCAGACCAGACCAGACCAGACCAGAACAGCTTTTAGCAGTTCATCCATGGCGGTTATTACATCTACTTTGGAACAGTATTAACGTTTGAGAATTTCTTCTACAGGTACGAGGAAATCAACTTAAGGATTCCGTCAACATTGTCTCGCTTAAACCTTGTCAGCTGTCTATCATCCAAGGTGTCTTCCCCGACTCTGCTGTTAACTTTTGGTTTCTTCGGTTACTCGTCTTTTTAACTTAATTCTACGCAGAGGATTACACGGAGGATCTAGCGGTTGCGCACATCCGACGGCTTCTCAACATTGTCTCCTGCACAACCTCATTCGGTTCTCCAAAATCTGCTGGTCGAACCAGTCCCAAAGAATCGGGTTCTAAGGAATTGACTGTCGTCGACAATGGTCCGACCCATGGGTGTGAATCTCCCAATAACTCCAAGGCGAAGGAAAAAATCGACGCTACTGCGGCAGTGTCGATGTGTCCTCTGCCCCGGCTCAGCCAGTTCTATGATTTCTTCTCCTTTTTTCACCTCAATCCACCTATACAATGTAACATCCTACACCAGTACGACACACAATCGATCAATGAGAGTGTCACACAGAACTACCAGAGTGACTAACCAACAAATTTACTTATCATATTCACTTGAAATTAAAGCTTCATATGTAAATACTTGCACTAAATAGAAAATAAAATCCATGTAAAAATAACTTACAATCGGGAGCTCCCACAATTACAAAATAAATCAAAATATACATACCAGGTATATAAAACAAATTACGACTCAATTTTTCAAAATAGAGCTTTGAATATACATGCCTTCTAGAAATTTGAGACATACTCTGCTCTGTTGTTTGGTTTGGATTTCTTCTAGTCAAAAGGTTTCTCTACTGATCTTCACCTAATATGTATAAGAAAACAAATTCCAAACGCTGAGTTAACTAGCCCAATGCCACACTAACAACTAAAATATACTTACAGGGGTACATTTATGACATACTTTAATAACTAAAATAATACCATGCATCATCAATACAACGTTAGTGAGTATCCTTGAGATACTCACTCTCTACGCCATGATAAACATCATAATGCGACTGAGGGATTTCTATATCTCAGAGTTCACGCACCCCTCTAGTTTATTGAGGATGTGGCACCCGGAATCACTACATTGGACACCACAACCCCAACTAGCCCACCCATTGCGAGTATCGGACCTTGCACCCAAGCTAGTCAGTTTTAAAGGCCTTGCGCCCTACCTATGGATATCTGGACTGCATCTATACTTCCGACACCCTAAAGTAGAGGAACTCAAGTGTTCGAATTGTTTCCCAAGCATCAACCAAGGCTAGTTTTATGTCACCCTAATTATTTGGTTCAAACATAATAATATTTTCACTTGTAGTCTTATTTGATAATATACTGAAGTATTGGAGTACCTTAGGTCTAATTCCCTTAAATATGATCATTTTTGCCCAATACAGGCTGAAAGTATCGATACTAGCCGAAGAGTATCGATACTTCTGTAAAAGTTTATGTAGAACTATGTTTCGATATAACAAATTAAGACAAAATGTTTTTGGATTTGAATTGAATTTATTCAAAGTTTTCAAAAGATTTCAAAAATAATTCAAAGTCCATTAAATTCATATTTGAGCAAAAATACTAAGAAGTACCGATATTGCTTCATGTATTATCGAAACCACATGAATGGGTACTGATACCCGTCATGTAGTATCGATACCCTAGGCAAGAGTAGTATCGATACCATCAAGGTAGTACCGATACTACATGAAGGCTCAAAACATCGAATGCAAAAAGGGTATCGATACCATGAAAGGATATCGATACCATAGTGCAAAGTAGTACCGATACCCCTTAGGCAGTATCGATACTACAAGGCTCCAATAGCTAGTAACGGCTAGTTAAATTTGAATTTAACAAAGGTAGTACCGATACCTGTTATAGGGGTACCGATACCCCCTGTTCTGGATAACTTACTTTTGCAGAAAAATAATCCCCAACGACTATATACGACTTCAAACTTATTTTATCTTTCTCTTGTAAATATTTTTGTTCTTGTGAGCTTAATTCTTGTAAATATTTTGGTTCTAGCTTAGCCTGCTAAAAGCTAGGGAATGGTTCTAGTTTAGCCCGTGTAAAACTAGGGAGTTTGTAAAGGTTATCTCTTTGTCCTGTAAAAAGAAAGAACAAATTAGTGAATTTGTTGGAAAATTCTTGGTGAGGAGCTAAGGTAGTGGATGTAGACTTGGTTGAGAAGTCGAACCACTATAAATCGCTGTGTAATTTTCTATCTTTCAATCTCATTACTCCCTAAACATAAAAACCGACCGACCCCTCTTGGCAAACCCCTTCGATTGTAGATTCGAGCTTCCGTAAAATACCAACAATTAGTATCAGAGCTTGACTCGTTAGAAGGCTTAACATCCTTGAGACGATCATCAAAGAAGCTCTAATGATTCCCGACGCAGTTGACAAAGAAATAGCTTCAACCTTCGGTGCGTATTACATTGAAGAATCACACATTCTAGATTCACAACAGGTAAACAAGCCACCCTTCTTCAATGGATCAAATTATGCACATTGGAAGAATAAGATGATGTTTTTTATTCGAGCCTACGATTTAGGAGCTTGGAACTCAATCATGAAGGGTTACTCCACTCCACCCGGTGAGATAAATGATTGGGATGATTGGAGTAATGAAGAGAAGAAAAAGTTTTGACATAATGCTAAGGCTATGCACATTCTCTTTTGTGCTTTAGGCCCAGATGAATATGGAAGAATCTCATCTTGTTCCAGTGCCAAAGAGATTTGGGATAAGCTCCAAGTCACTCATGAAGGATCCGACGAAGTGAGGGAAACAAAGATAAGTCTTCTCAACCATAGCTACGAAAATTTCATAATGAAACCCGATGAAGACATCAAAGCTATGACGAATAGATTTTCCGTGATTGTCAACGGTCTCAAGGGATTTGAAGAAGTAATCCCTAATGAGAAGCTTGTAAGGAAGATGATCTACTCTCTTCCAAAGTTGCGGCAATTGAAGAAGACAACTATTATCGAAGCTAGAGACCTAAAGTCTTTCACTCTCGACAAGCTAATTGGTTCTCTTCTCACTCATGAGATGATGTTGAAGGAAGAGGAAGAATGTGAAGAGAAAAAAAATAAGAAAAAAAAGGAGGTATGCATTGCCTTCAAATCCACCAATGAAAGCTATCAAGATTCAAGTGATGAGGTGGATGAAGATGATGATGAACAAGAAGATGATATGGCCAAGCTCTTGAAAGAACTCAAGAGATTCATGATTTCCAAGGAAGTGAAACATGAATCAACCAAGAAAAAGAATCCCCCTGTGTGCTTCAATTGTCAAAGAAATGGGCATGTCAATCATGAATGTCCTCTTCTAAAGAAAAAGGGGTCAAGCAAGAAGAATACATTTGTTGCATCTTGGAGTGATGAAGATGATTCCAATGATGAAGATGAAGTAGTTAACCTATGACTCATGGCCACCGAAGAAGAATTCAAAGTATCTTCTAACTCAAATGAATTTAATTTATTTACTTTTGATGAGTTACAAGATGCTTATAATAGGTTGTATTATGGATTTGAGACCATGAATTCTAAATATACGAAATTAAATTCAAAACTCAAAATTAAAGATAAATCGATTTTGAAAATAAAAGTCGATTTTGAAAATCAAAATGAAATTTTGAAAAATGATTTAGAGCTTTCAAAAATAAAAATAAATGATTTAAAAAAAGAAAATTTTGATTTAAAAGTTAAGCTTGAAAACTTAACAAAAAAAAAAGAATTAATTTCTAAAAACGACCTATTATGTTTAAAAATTACAAAATGCTCACATTGTCATTTTCATGGTCACAAGGAACATATTTGTCCTTTTAAGAAAGAAAAACGTTTTAAAATTAGACAAGTATGGGTTCTAAAAGGAATAGGAGACATTGAAACTAACGTTCAAGGATCCAAAGCAATTTGGATACAAAAATCTACTTAAATGTCTCTTGTAGGTGTGTGGGAGCAATGGTGATGATATTCAAGATGCTCTAGTCACACATGAAAAATGAATGGGTAACCTCTAAGCTTAATGCTTTTAATTTTGGTTATTTGATTGCTCATTTGATTTTAATCATGCATGAGTTTTTTTTAAATGATTATGCATTATTGTTTTAATCTCATGTATGTTTAAAAAGGTTTTATGATGAACATTTTAACGTTTTAATGATTTTCAGAATTTTTAGTTCATCATAATAAAATTTTGGTCAAAATTGGTTTTAATGCAAATGATATCTCTCTAACAATTGATACCAAAATTTTAATTTTTTACCTAAATTTAAATGTTTGTGCATGTACTTAAAATTGTATAAGATATCTCTCTAACAATTTATATCAAAAAATTTTTAAATGCATAACATTTTTGAAAAGCTTTATGCATATACACTTAATTTCAATAATTGATATTGCATAAAGTATTTTAGATTTGTATACATTGAATTTCATGTACTACTAATATGTTTGTTATTCTTTGTTGAAATTCAATTTTGTTTAAAGTGTCAAGTTCTTAAAGCTAAATTTTGTTTGAAATGCATTTATTGAGGGGAAGCTTTTGATTTTTCAAATAAATTTTAAATGTCAAATTTATCACTTACTCTCCAATGTTATTTTAGAACTTAAAAGATTGAATTATTTTTTATATAATAAAAAAGGGGGAGAATATGGTTTGAAAATTTTAATTTCTTAATGAAAAATGATTCAATTTTTTAATAAAAAGGGGGAGCTTAACATTTTCATATTTTTTCAACAATTGGTATTATTTTGTCAACAATCGGTATCTTTTTCATTAAACATTTTATTAAGGGAGAGTTTTGCCTAAAACGATTCTTTAAATGTTCTGTTATATAAAAAAAAATGGGGATATTATAGAACTATGTTTCGATATAACAAATTAAGGAAAAATATTTTTGGACTTGAATTGAATTTATTCAAAGTTTTTAAAAGATTTCAAAAATAATTCAAAGTCCATTAAATTCGGATTTGAGCAAAAATACTAAGAAGTACCGATACCGCTTCATGTAGTATCGATACCCATCATGTAGTATCGATACCATCAAGGTAGTACCAATACTACTATGAAGGCTCAAAACATCGAATGAAAAAAGGGTACCGATACCATGCAAGGGTATCAATACAATAGTTCAAAGTAGTACCGATACCCCTTAGGCAATATCGATACTACAAGGCTCCAACTGCTAGTTAAATTTGAATTTAACAAAGATAGTACTGATACCCCTTATTGAGGTACCGATACCCCCTGTTCTGGACAGCCTACTTTTGTAGAAAAATAATCCCCAAATGGCTCCAAAACATCCCCAACGACTATATACGACTTCAAACACATTTCAAGCTATAAATACAAGCTGAGGAAACTTGAAGAAAGAAGAGAACAACTATCCAAGCAATCAAACACAAGAGAAGAGTTTTTCATTCTTATATCATCTTTCTCTTGTAAATATTTTTGTTCTTGTGAGCTTAATTCTTGTAAACACATACCTTAGAGAGGTTTTCTTATTTACATTTCCTTTCATTGTAAAGGGGTTTTGGTTCTAGCTTAGCCTGCTAAAATCTAGGGAAAGATTCTAGTTTAGCCCGTGAAAAACTAGGGAGTTTGTAAAGGTTATCTCTTTGTCATGTAAAAAGAAAGAACAAATTAGTGAATTTGTTGGAAAATCCTTGGTGAGGAGCTAAGGTAGTGGATGTAGATTTGGTTGAGAAGTTGAACCACTATAAATCGATGTGCAATTTTCTATCTTTCAATATCCTTACTCCCTAAACACAAAAATCGACTCGACCCCTCTTGGCGAACCCCTTCGGTTGTCGATTCGAGCTTCCGCAAAATCCCAACAGTTTCGATACTTTATATAAGTATCAATGCTTTTAAACATTCTGTTATGTCTAGCTTCGATACTTTCTGAGAGTTTCGAAACTATGACTCAAAGTTTCGATACACTTGAAAGAGTATCGATATTTCTACCCAAAAAACACGTTTCTACCTAGAAATGAAGAACAAGTATCGATACTAGCCCAATAGTATCGATACTTGACCTGCAGAAGACTTAAAAACAAGCACAAAAATGCAATATCTCACTTCCAAAGACCCTTGTGAGGTCCCCAAACATGCTTAAAGTCTTATGTGTCATAAAAAGGGCATAAATAAGACTTGTATCATGCTTAAAATTCCAAAACATAAAATCTACCATTGATATGCTCAATAAGCTTAATTCTTACCTTCATGATATTCATTACATTAACATGACCCACTAAGAGTATAAATAAGTTGTAAATGTGGATACCTTGATTTCTAGGCTAAAACAAAGTTCCAACTCGTTTTTTTCTTTTGTCTTGGATGCTTCACCCACTTCTTTCATTAATCAAGAAAAGAAAGGGAAGTTTCTAAATAATATATGTTATGAAAATAAGGATTAGAATACTTCCAATAGCTTAAATCCAACAAAAAACAACCTAGAATCCTTGGTTTTATTAAACCTCCCAAAAATCCATTTTAGAAATCATAGAGGAAAATTTGTAAAATGGAACTTAAATTAAAGCTCGAAGGATGGTGATTCATAATCATACCTTGGCTCAAGCTAACCAAGATTGGATTGCTTAAAGATTGGCTCTTGAAAAGAAGGGAAATGAAAAATGCTAGAAGGAAGAACGAAGAAGGAGAAGTGTATTTGGTAAGATTATTGGGGCTTTGATTCACGTGAAGATTTTTAGTTGAAATAAAATGTTAAATTACACTTTAGGTCCCTATACTTTCAAGCCCCTATTAATATCATCACCTTACATAAGTCTTTTGGGCTCAACACAGCCTAAATCCATTTAGTCCTGGTCTAAGATATTTTTAATAATTATTTTAGACGCTAAAATGGGTCTCGGATTGACCCGAACTAATGACTCGAGTTTCGGGCGTTACATTCAATGTAATTTCTTTTTTAACAGCCATGCAAGAACACTTATTTTTTGTTTTTGTCGATGTTGATATTCTTTTATTATTTAATTTTTGCAGATATTATAAGATCCAGTCGTCCATTTCTGGAGGATAAAACAGTAGACGACTTTTTCCAAATTGATGTAAGTGGGATTCTTTAATTTGATCTTCTTATTTCATTTCTTGCTTAAAAAAATGTGGGCTAATTAGATCCTATGGAATCCAACTAAAACTGTAGGCGCGAGTTTGTAGTGGGAAACCGATGACCATAGTTGCTTCCCAGAATAGGTTTTACCCGGCTGGAAAGCGACCGCTTCTGTGTCACTCTCTGTTCACTCTTCTACAGCAGATTAGCAGGGTATTCGATGCTGTAAGTTCCATCGCAACTCTTTGAAGTTGATTAACTTTCCATGAAAGTTTTATTAAGTTTAAAGAACACTAATTTTTCTTGCAGGCATACAAGGCTCTTATGAAAGCTTTCACCGAGCATAATAAAGTAGTAAAATTTTCAATCTAGTTGCTGCATTTTGATATGATTTAGAGCAGTTGGTTTGGAACTCTGACTAGTGTTTATTTTGTTCTACATTTTATGTTTAAATGTTCCTTGTTTATTCATCTTTACTCTGATTTGAGCATTTTTACATTATTTCTGTGCAAGTCAATGACTTCTGGAAAATGCTTAAAAAGCTTGAAAACTACACTTTTTGTTCTAGAATCAAGGCTGGAACAGTAAGCATGAATTTATGCAGGAAATGTTGACATGGCAGTGAGTCTGCAACTTCTAGAGCGTCCACTTAAAAGAATGCATGTTATTGATCAAGAGAGGGAAGACAATGAGTTATGCTTAGGCCATATACTTACCAGATAATAGGTTATGTTTAGCTGTTGTTTTTCCTGTTTCTGTTTTTCCTTGGTGATTTTGTAATATGACTTCCATTGCAAGAAACGTCATCGACTGAATACCGTATTAGAGTTCGAGCCTAATCTTGTCTTTTTTCTCATATAGGTACGTAAATCATGTATTGTATCTTTTGCATTTAACATGTGGGCCATCTCATCCAAATACGGCAACCACCTATATTAATGTAGCAATGATGGAAGAAGGGTTAGGAAATGTTCATGTTGCTCTTCGATATCTCCACGAGGCCGTCAAGTGCAACCAAAGACTACTTGGAGCTGATCATATACAGGTAAACTATCATATTAATAATCGATAACGATCTAATCTGTTTATAAAGTACACGATTAATGTATTTTTGGCGTCTACAGACTGCTGCCAGCTACCATGCCATTGGTATTGCTCTCTCCTTGATGGAAGCCTACTCCTTAAGTGTTCAACATGATCAAACTACACTACAAATATTGCAGGCAAAACTAGGATCTGAGGACCTACGTACACAGGTAATTTGATGTTTGTTTATGATTAAAACCAATGATCACTGGTCTTCTGATAATTTGATAATTTTATGCCTTCTTAAGGATGCGGCTGCATGGCTCGAGTACTTTGAGTCTAAGGCTTTAGAGCAGAAAGAGGTCGCACGGAACGGTACTCCAAAGCCTCATGCATCAATCTCCAGAAAAGGCCATTTAAGGTACAATCTATGAGTAGAATCAATTCGGTTCAAGACATTTCAAAATTTTTAACTCTAGGCTTGAAAGTTTATGTTCTTTACTTGGCTTGTATTCAAAATTTAGCTGTGGAATCACATGTGTTTTTTACCTAAGAAGTATTTACAATAGTTTCGTATTTCGTATCAGTGTATCAGACCTTTTGGATTATATAACCCCAGACTCAGATATGAGAGCAAGAGATGCCCAAAAGAAAGCTCGTGCAAAGGTTAGTTGCCTAACATGTCCTTTTGCTTATTATGTTATCTTCATTGATGATGTATCTGAACAAAGTTTTTTATTTGACGAGCAGATTAGGGGCAAACCAGGCCAAAATTGGGAGACAACCTCAGATGAATATCAGAACGATGAGGTTCCTTCACCGACTTCTCCTGCTATGGAGAATTCTAGTGATAAAGAAAACAAATCTGAAGCTGAGTTCGTGGAATCCGGTAACGAGAAAGCTGATTCACTGCAAGCAGATAAGCTTGTGTTGGTTAAAAATGTTGATCAAGAACAGGATGACATATCAGATGAAGGATGGCAAGAGGCTGTTCCTAAAGGTCGTTCACCTGCAGCTCGTAAATCTTCTTCTTCTTCAAGGAGGCCAAGTTTAGCCAAACTGAATACGAACTTAATGAATGTGTCGCAATCCTCAAGATACCGGGGAAAATCTAATAATTTTACATCTCCAAGAACAAGCCCCAATGAGCCTAAGCTTCAGGTGGACCTAGTCCTTCATCTTCGAAAAAGTTCTTTAAAAGTTCAAGCTTCAGTCCACAAAGTTAAATAATCCGAGCAGCACAGTCAGTGGAGTGGAGAAACTTGTAAATCCAAAATCATCCCCTGGTAGCTCAGCTTCAACCGAACAAGTTACCAAGCTTACTCAAGTAGCTAGTCCAATCAGTGTGCAGGCAACTGGTAAGCTATTCTCCTACAAAGAAGTTGCTTTGCCCCCCCCCCCCGGGACAATGTAAAGGCAGTGGCAGAGCAGTTGCCGAAAGGAAATCCTCTTCCTGATCAAAATGCTCAGGCAAGCCAGGAGACAGCATCAGATGCCACACCACCGAAGGTTGTTAACAAAGAAGTTCCAAAAGCTTGGCTGGAAAAGGGGGCACTGCAGTTGAAGACATAAAAATAGAAGTTGAGACAGTAGAAGTCAAAAGTAGTTTTGAAACCACAAAAAATGATGCGGATTCTGGTTTTTGCAAGGAGTCAAATACTGCTAGTTCAAAAATCAAAGCATCGGATACTGGAGATAAATGCCAAGTTATATGGTCCAACTTAGAACCTTCGGTTGTTGTAAATGAAAATGCAGCTCAATTACCAGCGAACGAGGCCTCTAATCCCTCAGGAAAAGTGTTTGATGAAGATCCACAAGAGCTACCAGTTGAAGATAGTGTTAAGCAGTTTCTAGTTGAAGGCGAAAAGTCGGATGAAGCAGAGATTGGTAAAGAGACTAAAAAGAAACTTTTTGCAGCTGCACCCCCATTTAATCCATCAACAATTCCAGTTTTTAGCTCAGTTACAGTTCCTGGTTTCAGGGATCCCGGAGGACTCCTGCTCCCTCCAGTGCATATACCTCCAATGCTTCAACTTCAAGTTAACTCTGGCCGTAGATCACCTCATCAATCTGCAACGGCTCGAGTTCCATATGGACCTAGGCTCTCTGGAGGCTTTAACAGATCCGGAAATCGTTTTCCACGAAACAAATCTAGCTACCACAGCAGTGAACCTTCTGGAGAAGGGAACCTGTACAGTCCTCCGAGAATAATGAACCTACATGCAGCTGAATTTGTATCTGGACAACCTTGGTTGGTTCCTAATGGTTACCCTGTCTCTCCAAATAGTATGCCAATTTCGCCAAATGATTATCCCGTGCTCCCAATGACGCTAAATGGTGTTTCCGTGACTCAAAATGGATACCTCACAACCCCTATAGAAACAGCAGAATCACCAGCTGTTGTAACTGATGACATTGGAGCTGAAAACAAAAGTGAAGCAGTACCAGTGGAGCAGACTCCAGAGATTTCCTCCACAGAAGTCATAGGTGAAAACCATTCAAGCGAGCAGAAACCATCGAAAGATCAATCTTTTGACAATGAAAACAAGCTTCCTGAAAATGAAGGAAAGCTTACAGATGTGGTTCCTTTGACCGGTAGTGTTACTTCAGGAAAAGAAGCTTACAGTGAAATACAAGTTGATGCGACATTAGGCAAATGCTGGGGAGATTACATCGATGGTGAAGCCGAGATTCTTGAGGTTACAAGTTGAAGAAACAATACTTTTTGGATATCGAATGATTTGTCCAATAAGCGCTAGAGTTACAGGAGACAAGTAGAGATAAACTATGTAGAGCCAGTAGAGAAAGTGCAACAATGAGGAAGTTTATTCTGCTCAGTACAGAACATGTTTGACAGTACTGGTTAAACCGAGGCAGTTCGAATAATTTGTGATTCAGTTTGATTTCGCCACACAAGGAGGCTTGCTGACAGACTGGTATGCGGACGTACCATGACTATTTTCCGTTGAGTAGTTGGTTGATGACTAGTATTTTTTGCCCTTTTGTACCCAATTTTTTTGTTATTTTTCTGCCATCACACTTTATTGGATGTCAATGGAGACATGAAACAGTGGAATGTTTGTACGGTTGGGGAAAACGGGCTATTTCCCACACGAATGTAGTTTTAAAATTGACCTAAAATGTCAAGATTAAAACCACCAAAGGTTGCACAGCATAAACCTGTCAAACTATTGAATATTGAAACACAATGGAAAAGAACCGAATAAAAAACAATAAAGGAGAGAACACACCAAATTTACGAGGTTCGACGAGAATATCGTCTACTCCTCGGGCACCACACCGGATGATAACTTCACTATATCGCCAATATTACAACAAATGGACTTCTTTGGAATTCCCAAAGTGGGAGAATGAAGAATACAAGAGGAAGAGAGAACTTGTTTTTGGGATGATTTCTAATGGAAATACTTAGGCCTATTTATAGTTGAGTTTCAAGAACAATATGTTCAAAGTTTGGCCACCTACCAAAGAATTTTCCAATGTGTACAAGTTAGCCACCAAATATGAAATTCACATGTTCAAAGTTTGGCCATCAACTAAGATGAAATTTCCAATAAGTTGCTCACCAACCAAGATGAAATTTCCAACTTGTCAACTTAATTTCTAGACAAATCTAACAAATCTCCACATTGGCTTGAAATTACCAAGCCTACTCAACTTCTTCAACTCCCCAAATTTGTAGTGCCTCTAATTGCGCTCACAAGCGCCATACACCCGAAGGTGTTCATACTTTCAGGATGTTAATCAAGTTCAAACAATGATTGAACTTGATTACTGTTACCACCTTGGTCATCATATCTGCAGGATTTTCTGAAGTAGAATCTTTCCTTCTTCAAAGATCTCTCGCACAAAGTGATACCTCACGTCGATATGCTTAGTCCTTGAATGGTAGACTTGATTTTTCGCTAAGTGAATAGCGCTCTGACTGTCACAATAGAGACTAATGTGACTTTGAACAACTCCCAAGTCTTCCATCAACCCCGTTAAGCCAAATTGTTTCCTTTACAGCCTCTGAAACTGCCATGTCTTCTGCCTCTGTAGTAGACAAGGCCACCGTAGATTGCAATATAGACTTCCAACTTACTGGGGCTTTAGCAAGAGTAAACAAATAGCCAGTAGTTGATCGACGCTTATCCAAATCACCAGCATAATCGAAATCAACATATCCAACCATACACTGACCAAGTGCTTCATCCTGTTCAAAAACTAAACCAACATCCACGGTTTGTTGGAGATACCGTAGAATCCATTTCACAGCTTGCCAATGTCCTTCTCCAGGATCATGCATGTACATGCTCACAACTCCAACTGCTTGTGAAATGTCAGGACGCGTACACACCATTACATACATCAAGCTCCCAACTGCATTAGCATATGGAAATTTTGCCATATACACTCGTTCTTCGTTAGTTTTAGGAGATAATTGAGAACTAAGTTTCAAATGAGAAGCCATTGGGATACTTACATGTTTGGTATTTTCATTCATGCCAAAACATTGTAATACCTTTCTCAGATACTGCTTCTGTGTTAAACAAAGCTTCCCTCTCTGTCTATCTCTGCTTATCTCCATACCAAGAATCTTCTTGGCCTCACCTAGATCTTTCATCTCAAACTCTTGATTCAACTGAGCCTTTAATTTGTCTATCTCCTTTCGACTCTTTGAAGCGATCAACATATCGTCAACGTACAAGAGAAGATAAATGAAAGATCCATCTTTGAGCTTTTGCAAATACACACAATGATCATATTTGCTTCTAGTATACTTTTGCCTCCTCATAAAGCTATCAAATCGCTTGTACCACTGCCTCGGAGATTGCTTCAATCCATATAGCGATTTGTTTAGCTTACAAACCCATTTCTCACAACCACCATCTTTGTATCCTTCTGGTTGTGTCATATAGATCTCCTCTTCTAAATCACCGTCCAAGAAAGCCGTCTTTACATCAAGTTGAGCTAGCTCCAAATTCAATTATGCTACCAAGGCCAACAATATTCTAATGGAGGAATGCTTCACAACATGGGAAAATACTTCATTGTAGTCGATTCCCTCCTTTTGAGCGTAGCCTTTAGCTACCAACCGTGCCTTGTAGCGAACATCTTTCTTGTTATGAGATCCATCTTTCTTTACAAATACCCACTTGCATCCAATGGCTCTTTTACCTTTCGGTAATTGTGCCAGTTTCCAAGTGTCGTTCTTTTAGAGAGATTGCATTTCTTCATCCATGACACTTTTCCACTTATCACTTTCCAAGCTTTGTATTGCTTCTTGGTAAGTGATAGGGATATCATCATCAACAACTGGAAGAGTATAGGCCACCATATCAACAAATCGAGCAGGTCTACGAATTTCTCTCCTTGGCCTTGTAACTGCAAGTGTTTCTGGTGTCTCCAATGGTTCTTGGGTTTGAACCTCTTCATCTTCTGATTCTTCTATTGGAGTTGAAGAATCAGCTGCATCAACTTCTAGGATCATCATCTGCTGAAACTCCACCTGTTTTGGAGTATGCTCCACTTGCTGCGGAGTACTACTTGTCTGGACAGCTTCACTTGTTACCTTCTTTACTAGGGCAGATTCATCAAAGGTAACATCTCTGCTACAAATTACCTTCTTGGTGTCTAAACACCAAAGGCGGAATCCCTTCACTCCATGGGTGATTCTCATAAAGAGAGCCTTCTTTGCTCTCGGATCAAGCTTGGATTCCTTCACATGATAATAGTGGATCCAAATACATGTAAGGAATCATAATCAGTAGCAGTTTTCAGACCATACCTCCAATGGTGTTTTTCCTCCTATCGCTGATGACGGCAGACGATTAATGAGATGGCCAGCATATGTCACAGCCTCAGCCCAAAATGCCTTGCCTAACCCAGCATTAGACAACATACATCGAACTTTCTCCAATAGTGTTCGATTCATACGCTCTGCCACCCCATTCTGTTGTGGTATATGTCTAACAGTGAAGTGTCGAACAATACCATACTCATGGCAAACGTCAAAGAATAGGTCACTTTTATATTCCTCTCCATTGTCCGTTTTAAGACGTTTGATCTTTCTACCAGTCTGGTTCTCGATCATATTTTTCCATTTCAGGAAAATTTGAAGCACTTCATCTTTAGACTTCATCAGATACACCCAAACTCTTCTAGAAAAGTCATCTACAAAAGTTACAAAATAATAGTTTCCTCCCAAAGACGATCTCTTTGAAGGACCCCATACATCTGAGTGAATACAATCTACAATACCTTTTGTATTATGTATAGTGGTGCCAAACTTCACTCTCTTCTGCTTTCCCAGAACATAATGCTCGCAAAAGTTCAATTTGCAAGCCTTTGCACCTTTCAACAATCCTTTCTTTGCCATAATTTACAAGGATTTCTCTCCAGCATGTCCCAACCGCATATGCCACAACTGGGTTGCGTCCAAATCATCACCTCCGGAAGCTGCTGCAATTGCTCCAATAATTGTACTACCTTGGTAGTAATACAAATTATTTTTCCTGATGCCCTTCATCATCACAAGTGCGCCATATGTGACTTTTAAAAGTCCATCTCTCATAGTGACTACTGAGCCTTTGGATTCTAAGGCTCCCAACGAGATGAGATTTTTCTTCAAACTGGGCACGTATCGGACATCCGTCAGAACTCTGGTTGATCCATCTTGATTCTTCAATCGAATTGAACCTATCCCAACAGTTTTATAGGCATTGTCATTGCCCATATAAACAACTCCTGCATTTAGTTCCACTAAATCGGAGAACCACTCCCGATTAGGGGACATATGATAGGTGCAACTCAAATCTAATATCCACTCATCGGAATGGAATGTTGTTGAAGAAGCAACCAATGATATGTCAGAGTCATGTGCATCATGCTCTGCAACACATGCATCTGGAGCAGCTTTTCCTTTCTTCTTCAGCTTCGGACAATCTTTCTTCCAATGGCCTTTCTCATGACAAAAGGCACATTCATCTTTTCCCAGTCTGGACTTCGACTTTGATCTCCCTCTCCACTTTAGCTTTTGACTTTTCGAGCGACCTCTTGCCACCATGGCCTCTGCTGCTTCGTACTTGCACTCCTTCTTGGTTTTCTTCCTGAGTTCATAACTATACAAAGCAGCAGTTACATCTTTAAGGGTAACATTATCCTTACCATGAAGTAACGTTGTCTCAAGGTGCTCAAATTCATTTGGAAGAGATGACAACAACATCAAAGCCAAATCTTCATTTTTGAAGATTTCATCCATGCCCAATAAGTCTTCCACTAGCTCATTGAACGCAGTGATGTGTTCATTCATACTGGTGCCTGGTTGATAATCAAATCTGAACAATCTTTTCTTCATGTGGAGACGATTCTGAGAGCTTTTCTTCAGGAATTTTTCCTCCAAAGCTTTCCACATCTTACTTGCAGAAGTCTCGTTCTTGTAGCCATGCTTCTGCTCCCTGGAAAGACAAGATCGAATCGTGTGCACGCCAAACTTGATGTTCCCCATTCTTTCTCCTCCATATATTCGGGCTTTTCTTCCTTGGCGATATCTAGACCTTGTTGGAATAAAGCGTCTAACACCTCGCTTGCCACATGCCAAAATACCGGATCCATCGAACAACTCCACCGAGAAATTTGCATTTGACATCACCCTCCTCACCGGTCCAGATGAAGAGCTTGATGTCTCAACTGATCCGTATTTTGGCATTTTAATTCTAACGAACAATATTCAATATCACGAACTGTATCTTTTCAGCAACGGAACCACCAGGATAACCTCAACCAAAGCTCTGATACCAATTGTTGGGGAAAACGGGTTATTTCTCACACGAATGTAGTTTTAAAATTGACCTAAAATGTCAAGATTAAAACCACCAAAGGTTGCACAGCGGATAAACCTGTCAAACTATTGAATATTGAAACACAATGGAAAAGAACCGAATAAAAAACAATAAAGGAGAGAACACATCAAATTTACGAGGTTCGACGAGAATATCGTCTACTCCTCGGGCACCACACCGGATGATAACTTCACTATATCGCCAATATTACAACAAATGGAATTCTTTGGAATTCCCAAAGTGGGAGAATGAAGAATACAAGAGGAATAGAGAACTTGTTTTTGGGATGATTTCTAATGGAAATACTTAGGCCTATTTATAGTTGAGTTTCAAGAACAATATGTTCAAAGTTTGGCCACCTACCAAAGAATTTTTCAATGTGTACAAGTTAGCCACCAAATATGAAATTCACATGTTCAAAGTTTGGCCACCAACCAAGATGAAATTTCCAATAAGTTAGCCACCAACCAAGATGAAATTTCCAACTTGTCAACTTAATTTCTAGACAAATCTAACATGTAGCTTTCTAACAATAATGCAATAGCCATATTCTGCTCGGCTTTCTGGCATTAAAGTGCATGTACTCCGCGAACAACAAAGACAGTTCTACCTAGCTCTAAGTTGCCTAATATATGCAGGTTACCGGTGATGGTTACAGCGAGCTGCGGCAGCACCACGAGCGACCCGGGAACAATGAAATGCAAGAAAAAACTGATGCTCGTGCACTGCAGTTTCAAATGCATCAGGTTTCCACTGCTCTGGCATTCAAAGTTTAACAACATTTCATATATGTCTATAGAGTGCAGTAGTGCACATCTTATTTTCTTGACATGTTTTAATTATTTTCATGTGTGTTATGTTTCAATCCTTTCATGATTTGCATGTGTAGTTTTACAAAACAATTCAATTTTAACTATAAATTATTTATTTAAGAAACATGTTCTCAATTTCATTTATTTGAAAATTATCCTTTGCACTTGTCATTTATTAATTTAAATATTATGTTAAAAGATAGTCATAATATTTGAGAAAATACAATAATAACAATAATAAATCATTTATTTTACATATATTTTAAATATATAAAAATTTGAGAACTTAAATACTTTCATATAAATTAATCCATACAACAAAAGCACTCAAACATGATATTTATACTTGTATAAAATTCGAACGTCTCAACCCTACCAGCTCAACTAAATTATCATCGACATAAAATCATAGTTTAAACTCTTAATTATGAGATGGAAACAGCACCAAGTTAAGTAAGATTAGGGAGATATGTTAATCAAGCCGGTTAAAGCCGGCAAATTTACATTTCATCTGCTAAGACGGTTAATACTCATTGGATCACCCACACAACCTTCCAAAAGTCGTAATTTTTTTATAAACATCTCCTCTCGTCATCCCTTTAAATCCCTCTTCATTGGAGGACTCAGTCATATCTCTTCCGATTTTGTTTTTCTCTCTCGTTCCAAATACGTAGTTGATCGAATCAGCACTTTCATGGCGAAATTACCACACAAAACCACAGCACAAAACAGTACTACCACTGCCAGTAATGGTGTTACTAAGGTGAAGAGAACTAGGAGAAGTGTTCCAAGAGACTCACCTCCTCAACGCAGCTCCATTTATCGAGGGGTCACCAGGCAAGTTATTTTTACTTTTTCATGTATTTATGTATGTATGTGCTTTGAGTTCTTGCTTGTTAACCATGTTTGAGTGTTGCAGACATAGATGGACAGGTCGATATGAAGCTCATCTATGGGACAAGAACTGCTGGAACGAATCACAAAACAAGAAAGGACGTCAAGGTTCATTAACTTTTTTCTGTTATCTTTTCTTTTTTATCATAATTGAATTATATCATAAGCTGATTAAGTTTTAAATTTCTGCTGGTGTTGCTGTGGTCTGGTGCTGCTATTCGTAAACACACCAAGCAGTTTATCTTGGTATGTTAAATACTACTCCTAGGGTTAATTTTAATAGTAATTTTTGTGCTATGGGATTGAGATTTTAGATGATATTTGGGAAAATTTCATTACTTTTCTTCAGGTGCTTATGGTGATGAAGAAGCAGCGGCACATGCTTATGATTTAGCAGCACTCAAATATTGGGGTCCAGATACCATACTTAACTTTCCGGTAATCTCATCTCTTATATATATAAGGTTTTTGGGAAGATTGAGGAAGAAGACTTATTTAGCATCAACAATGCAGTTATCAACGTACGAGAAGCAGTTGAAAGAAACGGAGAACCAGTCGAGAGAAGAGTATATCGGATCATTGAGAAGGTGAAATTACAGACTGATCCATTGGATTAATTTACTTCATCAATATCTTGATTGATGGTTTGAGTTAAATAATTGTATTTGATCTTGAATTTGCAGGAAATCTAGTGGTTTCTCTAGGGGAGTCTCGAAATACAGAGGCGTTGCTAGGTAGATACTCATAACTCATCTTTTTGTTCATCAATTTCGTCTCGATCAATTGACATAAAATTAAGTCATAAGATGAAGGATTCGATTCGGATCGACCATCTACGACATCTCGAATGCAACATCATCATGTTACAAATTTATGTCATTCATTTGTTTCTTCTCAATGTCAAATGACCAGACATCATCACAATGGTAGATGGGAGGCTCGCATTGGGAGAGTGTTTGGAAACAAGTACCTTTATCTTGGGACATATGGTATGTCGAACCACTCCTTTGTCTTCTTCATCTTGTCTTTTTCATCCTTGTAAGAAAGCAAAACGTTAAAAAATGTTTACGTGATCATGATCTGGTTCACAGTCAACACTTTTCTTGTTGGCAGTTTCATGGCGTTTCTGAAATGGACATTCACCTATGGTTGTGCTTTTGCATTAATGTCTTCATCTCATTTTTCTGCCCAATGGCAAAGGCTAACTCCCTTTTTAGGTTCATTGACTAAAATACTCCAAAAATCAATACTGAAAACGACATGTTGGCTAATCAAAACCATTAACGTTGTTTTCAAACGAACATTGATTGATCATAATCTTATCTGTTTTAGGGATGAACCGAAGGCCAGGTGGGATGGCCGCCCTAGAATTTTTAAACTTTCATATAATATAATTATTTTTTTATATTTTTTTTGTTGAAGATCTAATTTCGCCCCTTAAATTTTATAATTACGTACCTTTAATTTATAATATTAATGTTCATTTGATATAAAATTCTTCGTTCATTTCTGATATGTTCATTGGCTTTTCTGCAGCTACTCAGGAAGAAGCTGCTACAGCATATGATATGGCTGCTATAGAGTACCGAGGATTAAATGCAGTGACAAACTTTGATTTAAGCCGTTACATCAAATGGCTTAAGCCTAACCAAATGAACGCAGAAAATAACCCTAACCCTAACGTGATAGACACTACAACTACTACACCAATGGCAACACCAAATCCTGATCTAATCTTCTTGAACAACAACCAGCAGCTTCAACCATCCAGTGTACCTAGTGAAACCTTGTTGACTCAGACCCGGCCCGTGACTGCCACATCGGCCCTAGGGCTTCTCCTTCAATCCTCGAAATTCAAGGAGATGATGGACATGACATCGGCTTCTGCTACCGATAACCAATGCCAGTCGACACCGGCTGTACCAGAACCGGTGCAGTGCAGATTCCCCGAAGACGTACAAACGTACTTCGAATGTCAAGATCCGAACTGTTACGGAAATGGTGACGAACTCCTTTTCGGCGAGATCAACTCCTTCGGACCACCAATGTTCCGGTGCGACCAGCTTGATGCCTAGAGGAGTACAAGAATTTTAGTGCTTGATGACATCTCTAGCTTTTTTATATATTTATTATTTTTTGAAGAGATTTTGTTTATTATTATTCAGATATGAACCAATAAAGATGCATGTGTAGATGCTTTGTGAATACGAGAGCAATAAAGAAATAATCATTTGTATTTTTTTCTATAAATAAGAATTATAGGGAAAAAAACAATTTGATGTTCTTTTTACATTTTATAATGCAGATTTACTGAGTATGTATTATGATTTGGAAAATACTTGACAAGCATTTCGAAAATGAATAAATGATCCTCTCAACAAAATAATAATAATCTTCAAATTTATCATTTTTTTCAATATGTTATATAATAAATTAAATAAAATGTACATTTAATTTAGGGTAAACTGCGCATTTGGTACTTAAACTACCAGTTTTTGTTTGTTTTAATACTTAAACTTTTGATTTTTCAAAATCATACCTAAAATTTAGTTTTTTTTATTATAGTACCCTCGTTTAAAACTTAACGTTAAATTTTGAAAAAATTTAAAGTTTAGGTACTAAACGCATTAAGTTTTTAACGGTAGGGTACTAAAATGAAATAAAAACTAAACGTTAGATATGATTTTGAAATAATTAAAAATTTAAATATTAAAACAGATAAAAATTAATAGTTTAGGTACTATATTATATACGTAATTTACCATATAATTTATTGTTCCTTGCAACAAGCTGATATCGTTCCAAACAAAAAAAAAATGGAGTTGGATTTGTGGAGTGTAGCAATCCATCCGTTCAAAGCAATCAATAAAAGCCCCATAGAGACAAAAAGTGAAAAAAAAGTGAATTTACGACAGTTGGTCATAGGGAGGGGATACGTGAAATCCGGGGTGTTTTTCCTTACAATTCTTAGACCCGAATGACCGAACAACAACCCTCTGATGTTTGGATTGGTCCAAGAGAGATATGTGCATAGGACCAAATCCGATGGATTTCGATCTTATCTGACTTGATCGGGACGGATTTAAAAAAAAGGGTCGGTCAAGTTTTTTAATGTTATTTTTGAATCATTACGAGTTTGAGTTTAGGGTGAAAGATATCTAACCCGATCTGACCAAAAAATTATCATTTTACTTTGCAATAATACTCTTCTATATATTATTTTCTTTTAATTAAATCCTTATTTTTATTGAATAAAATTATTTTTTAATAAGTATATTATTTCGAATCGGGTCAGATTCGGGTTAGATAGAAGGTGTATATTTTTCGGCTCGGGTGGACAGAAAATCCGACTCGACCCATGCCTATCCCTTCATGATGAGACCCCAAAAAAGTAAAGGATAAATTAAGCATTTAGTACTTACACTATCAGTTTTTATTCATTTAGTATTTTAATTTTTAATTTTTTTCAAAATCATATATAATATTTAGTTTTTGTTTCATTTTAGTACATCGCCATTAAAAACTTAACATCACTACGTTTTATGGGTAAACTACATCATTCATCCCTCGACTATCTTGTCACTCCTATTTTGGTACTAAAGTTTAAAATTTTTTATTTAATGACTCAACTTTCAAATTACTCTTATTTTAATCACTCTAATTTATTTTATTAATAATTTTTTTGTGACATGACATTTTATTATGATTTTATTAATATATAATTAAAATAAAAAATAAATTTGAAAGTTAGAGTGATTAAATTATGAGTAATTTGAAGTTAAGTAATTAAATTAAAAAATCAAATTTTAGTTACCAAAATAGGAGTGAAAAGATAGATGAGTGATGAATAATGCAATTTATGCATAAAAATGTGCCACGTACTTTTTAACGACGATATATTAAAACGAAACAAAAACTAAACGTCATGTAAGATTTTGAAAATAAAAATAAAAATTTAGGTATTAAAATGGACCAAAATTAATAATTTAATTTCTAGACAAGTAATTTACCTAAAAGTAAAATACTATATTGTATGAACAAATGAGACCCAAAAATCCCCATCCATATGGAACAAAACGACTTCGGTGATAAAAAGAATTATTATTATAATTTAAGGTTTTAAATTCGAACCCACAAATATTATATTAAATAATTAAGAAGTATCATTATTAACTATTTAGCCCGTATCAATAAAAGAATATTGAACAAAGATACAGGCTCGATGTTTATATAATAAAAAAGAAACGCAGGGTCGCTGTAATTATAATAGACCCCTAAGAACCCACAACAACCACTGTGGTCGGAGGGAGGTTACTGCGATCGCCTCTGCTCTGCTTGTATGGCCAGGAGAGTCAGAATGAAGTTAAAAAAAAGGTTGCACCGGCTGTTTGCGCAAATCTAGGCTTATGGGGAAAGTAAAGTGAAAGCTAAGAGCCCAAAGCTATCCCCTGGACCCCCCATGTTGTACCAACAAACAACATTTCCCTTATTTCTTTGCCCGAAATTAAGTTGAGGCAGGCAGAGCTCTCAGAATGGTCAGTCAGTGGATGTATATCTACACGCAAGCATCTTATTCTTCTTCATTGAATCATATGGAGGAGGCTTTGCCAATGAAAAGAGAAGAAACAAAACAAAAACGTACACACACCAAGCCCACATGTTTCTCCTTTCTTTTGTTATTATTATTTTTGGGAAGTAGTGTTCGAAAGAATTCACAGATTGTTTTCTCTCGCTCTCTGTGCTTGTGTTTTTGAATGATGACAGGCCTCTGGTGGAGACAAGCAAAGGGACTTTACTTCAAGAAGAGAGGTGAAATATGCAGACCCGAAGCAAGACTGAACTTTTTCCATCAAGCATGGAACCCCATTTTCTTCTTCAACTTATGGTGATATTGGCGGGACATGGCTCAATCTTTTTGTTGTTCATTACGATATACGAACTATCTTTGTTCTGTTTCCATGTATGTTGCTTCAAACGTCGGTTGTGTTGAATCAATTGCTTGAAATTTAGCAACAAAACGGGCCAACTTGGAACCCAACAATACTTATTGAAAATCGTCGGGAATAGGTATAGAAGACGGGTATAATTTCATAGATTTTATATCGAACCCATTTCAATTGAGGCGGAGATGGCTATAAGTTTAGTGAGAAGTAGATGGGGGTGTCAATGTAAAAAGTTCTACTCGTCGTGTTTAATGAGTAGATGATGGGTTTGAGATATAGCCCGTTTTGAATCCATACGTTTCGCATCCATACGTTCCACATCCATATGTCCCACATCCGTCCACCCACAAACTACCTACCATATAATTTTGAGACTATTATGAATTTAAGTATAATCTCAAACTATTATGTAAATCTTAAGATTTTATGGGACATTGTAATTTAATCAATTATTCAACTTATGTAGTATGTGTGGATGTTGTTAAGAAGATATGAACGGGTACAAGCAAATACAGAATGGGTGATGAATATTTAATAGAATAATGAGTGTGAGAATGAATTTTAAAATATACTCACGTGAACTAATGTGAATTTATAAAATTTACTAGTCGTAGATGATGGATAAATAGTATACACAAAAATATAAAATGAGTATAAAGACGAGGGAAAGAGTATTCGTATCAGTATCGTTCGTTTATCATCCCAGGAAATATGTAAATTGAGATAAATGGAGACTTAATGTTGACGTTATTGTATTTGTATTATTGTAAGAATTTTACTTCAAATATCACTTGTGGTTATACCAAAAGCATATTTTACTCAAATAGTGTTTTATAAACACCTATTAAGTGGAGTGACAAAAATTTTAATGTATTAGAGCAAGGATTCAGGTGCAAGATCCGTAGGTAAAGAAAAACAAAGTTAAGAGCATTTTCTTCATTTAAGGGTTTGATTTGATTTGATTCGATTCGGAATATAAATGAAGTCTAATGCGATTTATCAAAGGGTTTAAGACTAAAAAATTATTAAGAAAATTATGTAATAGTTAAATTTAATCAATTAAATTTTAGTTTAGTTGACATCGTTGTTATTATGTTATACAATGACATGAATTCGGACTCATGGGTACGAAGTGTTCTTGGTAATTTAGTCACTAATATATATTAGCTCAAACAAAATTAAAAAAAATATTCTCATATTTAATTTATAAGAATAAGTGTTGAGTATAGCAAGTAGGCACATTGAACTCCCAATGAGAGAACTTAAATTTAAATATAAGATATGATATTGATAAAAGAATAGCTGCAAATCTCGGATATGGATCATAACGTGTGTACGAAATCGAAGTTATAGATATAATTCGTGTTTTTTAATTTGATTACTTGAAGTTATTGTAATTTAGTCATATTATTTTTATTATTATTTGGGATTAAGATTAAAATTTAAAATTTAAAAAATCATAGTATATAAATTAATGGCATGATTTGACATTTATGTTTAGGCTTAATATATATAAACTCTAAATTTGGTATTTTTTCTCAACTTGGTACATGAACATTTTTTAAACCACTTTTATACTTGAACTTGAGGAAAATTATCATATTGGTATATATGTCGATGTGGTATTTCAATAACTAATTAGATATTAATGTGACATTGAATATTTCAGCGTTTTTCGATATAGCACATATATCCTATATATTTCCCTGTCATACATCATTCAGACTATTTTTCTGATCTAAAACCCTTTGCAGTAAGACGCGCCCCTGCAGTGCTTTTTATGGTGATCTGGCGTCATGTGGAGTAAGGCGTGCCCCCTGCAGCGCGCCTTATGCTAACATGGACACACATGTCTAAAGCGTGACCCTGGGACGCGCCTTACGCCACGTGGGGCCATAGCGCGGGGCAGGGACGCGCTTTTCAATTATCACATGCTCAATTATCATACATGCATAATGCAAGGCACGGTGCAGGGACCGCACCTTGCATAATTTACCCGAACTTCTCGGTTTTAAAGCATCCTCTCTCGACTATAAATAGCCCTCTCCCTGTAAACTCTCTCACAATTCCCTCTCAACCGAGAAATTAATACAACAATCCTTTCAACCAGTAAATAATACCCGACAATCCTCTTATATTTGATTCAAAAGTTCGTTCGATCTTTCGTTATAAGGTAATTTTTTTATAATATATTTTTTATTATACTTATTGTT